ACCCCTTTCCTTTCCTTTCCTTTCCTTTCCTTTCCTTTCCTTTCCTTTCCTTTCCTTCCCTTCCCTTCCCTTACCTTACCCTTTAATTTTTTCCCTTTCCCATTCCTTACTTTGTCTTTACTTACTTTTTCCATTCCTTTCCGTTTCTTTCCATATATTTTTACCCTCTTCCTTTCCTTTCCTTTCCATATGAAGAGTTTGGTTCCAAAACGCTATAAATCCATTTTGATTAATTTGAGTAAAAATGTGTTTTCTTTACCAAGAAAGTGGCTAGATGAAAACCACTATTTTCTGTTTCAAACTTTCACATAGCATCTTTAGGTTATAACATTAAAAATTCAAATCCAGATTTTGATTTTCAAAGATTTATTATAAAATGTAATTTTTTCCCAAAATGCAATAAATCCGTGACACTTTTTTTTCTTCAAAATGCAATAAATCCATTAAATCAATATAAAAGTTATTTTTTATATTGAAACTGTTGAAAATACAGAACATAGTAAGTTGATCCACATATGACAGCCTCTGAACTTGGTCAATACTAATCTTATATGCAGGCACTGGACTAAAAATACATTCAATCAGTCATCGCTCCCAAAATGAATTCAACAGGTGAACCAGCTTTACTGACGAGATGCGCATGAAAATCACATGCGATTTATCGTGCAGCCCTAAGTTTGTTTGTTGATCACAAAGTACAAAATAGATGAGGAAAACTAGGAAGCCGGGTGTATTCAAAGCACCGCCATTACTGTCTAGAGTGTGTGGAATGGTGCGCTGTGATTGGTTGAGCGGATATATCGCTGTTACGGGGTTGACAAGACGTGAGACGTGCGGATCCATCTGAAAGCTTTTATTTAAGAGACGTGGTCAAAAACAGGCAAGGGTCAGACAATGGCAACAGGTATATAGAGGGCAAGACACAAGAATAAACCTAGGGCTAGTGTGGGTCTACGATCGGCGAACAGAATCAACAGGGCGAGACTAGAGCGATAAATCCAGGTACAAGGCAAAGGTCCAGGCAGGGGCAAACAGTATCCGAGTAGGGCAAGACGAGAGGGGGAATCCGAGATACACAGGCCAAGATCAGGACACGAGAAAACAGACAAAACAAGGCAAGACAAGGCTAAGCTAGGCTAGGCCA